CTGATGACATGCACAATGCAGTTGGCAATCACACAAAGATAACGAGAAAGCCCCACTACTGGAAATGTAAGATACACTTCTAAATAACTCAAGGATCAAAGAAAAAAATCATAATACAAATCATAAAACATTTAGAAGTGAACCATAACAAACTAACTATAATCTGAGACATACAGGATATAAGAAAATATCATTTAGATGGAAGTTTACAGCCTTCAGAGGTTTACAATTAGAAGATAAGAAATGTCAGGGCCCCTGGGTGACTCAGTTGGTTCAGTGTCCAACTTCATCTCAGGTCATGATCTCGCGATAAGTGGGTTCAAGCCCCATGACGGGCTCTGTGCTGACAGCTCTCTTTTCCCCTGCCCTCCTCGTACTCTGTGTGTGTGTGTGTGTGTCTCTCTCTCAAAATAAATAAACATTAAAAACATCTTTAAAAAACAAAAGAAAGAAAAGAAGAAATGTGGGGCACCTGAGTAGCTCAGTCGGTTGAGCATCCAACTCTTGATTTCAGCTCAGGTCCTGATCCCAGGGTCACAGGATTAAGCCTTGGGCTCTGTGCTGAACATGAAGCCTGCTTGAGATTCTTTCTCTCTCTCCCTTTGCCCCTCTCCCTCACTTTTGCTCTCATTCTCACTCTCTCCTTCTAAAATGAAAAATAATAAAAAAAAATTTTTTTCAATGAAAATAAGAAATGTTACAAAATTAATGTGTTAAGGCCCAACTTCTGGAGCTACAAAGAATCTACCCCGTCACCTCCTCTTGACTTCCCTCATACCTTACCCACACTTTTCCCTCCTCTTTTCCCTGTACATACTGAGCCCTTCCTGTGTGCCCAGCACTGCCTCCTCCCCCACCATCTTTATCGTCAATTCTCTGACACTGTTCAGATTTCCCTCTGGCATTTTACTAGAAACACCCAGTGTACACAGTACCAAATGTAACCGTCTTTGCACCCATTCATTCAACACCAACACCTGCCGACTACCACCCTGCACCAAGATGGCGCAGATGCTACAGACACAGAAATGAAGAAAGAAAGCCCAGTCCTTCCCCCAGAGCAGAGGTCATCATGGCCTAGCCTCCAGACCACCACCATCATCATCAACTAGGTGCTTCTTTAGAGCTGAAGATCTCAGGTCTACACCTCACCTACTGAATCAGAAACTCTGGAGTGAGGCCTAACACCCTGCCTTACCAAGCCCTCCAAATGATGCTGACCCAGTGCTGGAGGAGTCTAAGACCCACTGCCCACAGGAGTTCAAAGTCCAGCAAACATAAACAAAAGAACACTTGGAGACAGCTGGAGAAGATATTATGGACGGTGCAGGGGTATGAAGAAACAGGATCAGACAGATAGGATCAGGATCAGATCCTGAAAACCTTCGGTGCCTGAGAAGGACTCTGTGTTTTGAGAACAATGAGGAGTCACTGAGAAGTAGGGAGAAGCTATAGTGACATCCAGAGTCGTCACTGCAATACTGACTATACAGGGGACTTTCCAAGCAGGTTTCTTCAGAAGCCAGGCATGTTATGATTCCCTTTTTATCGATGGGAATGTTTGAAACAAAAATTATTTATCACTAGCAACAAAAGTCCAGGGCCATCCGTCTCAGTGTTAAGGTGCCAGCATGATCTTACATCTAAGAGCAAGGATTGGATAATCTCACAGCTTTTTTTTTTTTTTTTTAACGTATATTGGTTTTTGAGAGACAGAGAGACACAGAGCATGAGCAGGGAAGGGGCAGAGAGAGGGAGACACAGGATCCGAGGCAGGCTCTGGGCTCCTGTCCCTGTCGGCACAGAGCCCAGATGCAGGGCTCAAACTCATGAACTGTGAGATCACGACCTGAGCCAAAGTCAGACATGTAACCAGCTGAGCCACCCTGGCGCTCCCGGATAATCTCACAGCTTTGAAGCCATGCCTGCATTGCTCAAGCACTGAGGAGACCATAATGCAAATGATGGCGATTAACTCAGATACTTTCAATATGAACAAATATTCCTTCTCTGGGAAGGCCTATCCATCGCCCCGCTCTGGAGATACCAACCCCTTTGGACTCAGACGTAAGCATTTATTCAGACAGGGCTATCACATTCATCTGAAAGCAGTTTTCCTTGAACCTTTAGACAGCTGTGAAGGAGGGGTCCCTTGGAAGCCTGCACTTGAACAGACATTAAGAAGAGCAGTACATCAGAGGCGCCTGGGTGGCTCAGTTGGTTGTGTCCAACTTGGCTCAGGCCATGATCTCATGGTTCATGAGTTCGACCCCTACCTGAAATGTCAGCTCAGAGCCTGTCTCCCTCTCTCTGCCCCTCCTTTGTTTGTGCTCTGTCTCTGTCTCTGTCTCTCCCTCTCCGTCTCAAAAATAAATAAACATTGGGGGACCTGGGTGGCTTAGTCGGTTAAGCGTCCGACTTTCGCTTAGGTCATGATCTCACTGTTCGTGGGTTCAAGCCCCGCGTCAGGCTCTGTGCTGACAGCTAGCTCAGAGCCTGGAGACTGTATCAGTCTGTGACTCCCTCTCTCTCTGACCCTCCCCTGCTCATGCTGTCTCTCTCTCTCTCCTAGAAATAAATAAAACTAAATAAATTAATTAATTAAATAAATAAACATTAAAAAACAATTTAAGGGATGCCTGGGTGGCTCAGTCAGTTAAATGACTCTTGGTTTCAGCTCAGGTCATAATTTCATGGTTTCATGAGTTCAAGCTCCACATTCGGGTCTGTTGGCAGCGTGGAGCCTGCTTGGGATTCTCTCTCTCTCTTTCTCTCTGCCCCTCCCCCACTCACACTGTCTCTGTCTCTCTCAAAATAAATAAACTTTAAAAAAATTTTTTTAAAAAGGAACAGTGTATCAAGTCAAGGCTTTGTCCTTACATTCATTTGGATGGAGCTTTCAGAGCTCAGTTTCTGAGTACTGCATAGATCTGATCTCCAAACTGCTGATAACATTCAGTTATTAAAAAATCCCTGGGGTAGTCAAAGAATCAGATCCATTGCTAATCTCTACTGAGAGTGAAGAGAATTAACCAACCAAGTTTAATTTAATTTAGGTCTTTCTCACTGACTTAATTTAATAATTATTTGTAAGCACAAAGCATCCTTCCTTCTGTAAGATCTGCAGTAAATTAATCACTTCTCCCTCTGGACAGGTTATTTGCATTCTTTTCAACATTTTTTTGGAGGAAATACATAATGCCTGGTACAAAATGCAAAAGATATCAAAGAGCATATGGCGGGGGGCGGGGGGGGGAGCGGAAGGCACACAGAAAGAAGTATATCATCTGCCCCACCCCACCCCCAGAGGCAGGCTGGGACAACTATGGAAACCTGTACATTTGCCCTGTTTGGGATTTTTTCTTTTATTATACGCAGTTTTCAATACTGTAATGTTCTACTTTGGTGACTATTCGGTACCAGTTCAGGAGACGCCTCCTTTTTTGTCATTCCCACCATGAGGTTATGTCTACTTTATGTCATTGATCCCCTACACACAGACATTTAACTGGCTTCCAATCTTTTGCTACTTCAAACAGTGCTGAAAATTAAATCCTTGTATGAAAATCTATCCCCTGTATGAAGAAATAAACAAAAGACTGTAAATATCGGGGTGCCTGGGTGGCTCAGTCGGTTAAGCATCCTGCTTTGGCTCAGGTCATGATCTCATGGTTCGTGGGATTGGGCCCCACGTCGGGCTCTGTGCTGACAGCTAGCTCAGAGCCTGGAGCCTGTTTCAGATTCTGCATCTCCCTCTCTCTCTGACCCTCTCCTGCTCACACTGTCTCTCTAAGAAATAAATAAAACATTAAAAAAAAAAAAAACACTGTAAATATCTACAATGGAATATTATTATTTAACCTTTAAAAAAAAAAATGACATTCAGAGGCATTTGGGTGGCTCAGTTGACTAAGCATCCGACTTTGGCTCAGGTCATGATCTCATGGTTTGTGAGTTCAAGTCCAGCATCGGGCTACCTGCTATCAGCACAGAGCCTGCTTCAGATCCTCTGGACTCTCCCGCTTTGCCCTCCCCCACTCACATGCACGCAGACTGTCTCAAAAATAAAGAAACATAAAAAAAGAAAAAAGGACGTTTTGACACATGCAGTAACACACATGATCCTTGAGGGCATTATGCTGAGTCACAAAAGGAGAAATCCTTCATGATTCCACTGTACCTACAGAAGTCAAACCCGCAGAGATAGAAAGCCAAATGGCGGTGACCAGTGGTGGGGGGGAGAGGGAAGTAGAGAGTTGGGGGATCATGGGCACAGAGCTTCAGTTTTGCAAGATGAAAAATGGTCCAGAGACGGACGGTCGTAATGATGAACAGCAGTGTAATCACACTGCCACTGAACTGGACTGAAAAATGGTGAAGACTGTGAACTGTAGGTTATGTGTATTTTACCACAATTTTTAAAAACCCATTTTCTTGGGGTACCTGGGTGGCTCAGTCAGTTGAGTGTCTGACTCTTGATTTCGGCTCAGGTCATAATCTCACAGTTTGTGGGATCAAGTCCAGCAACAGGCTCTGCATTTACAGCATGGAGCCTGCTTGGGATCCTCTCTCTCTCCCGTGCTCTCTGTCCCTGCCCTGCTCATGCTGGCTGGCTTACTCACTCGCTCGCTCGCTCTCTCTCTCTCAAAATAAATGAACATATAAAGGGAAAATCCATTTTTTGTACTCTTATGTATGCATTTATTCATTCATGCATTTGTTCAATCGTCCCTTAAACCTATGTGTGCCAGAATCACACAGTTATGCACAGTTTTATCCTCAGGTTGAGGAAGACGAAAAGGAATTAAGTAGGCAAAGAAACGACACAAGCAGAAAGTTCGGGGTGTGAAAAATCAAAATGCCACACTAGAGGAAGAAGCAGAGAGAGGTAAAGAGGGGCCAGATATAAAGGCCTCGGGCATCTTACTAAAGAGGAGATTTTATTCTGTAAGTATAAATGATTATCCTGAAAGGTTCAGGGCACACGTCGACCACCTGACCTGTGTGTTAGGAGAGCCCTGGTTTCCACGTGGATGCTGGACAGAGACTGAAGCTGACAAAGAACCCCTCCGTCATGTTTTCCTCCAACGCGGAAAGAGTAACAGTGAATCTTGGTGGATCTTGACCTGCGCAGAAAAGACCAAAAGGAAACAGAATTGCAGTAAATTAGGGTATAATTCACAGCTCAAGTAGTTTTCAAAGTGGGGTTCCCCCCCCACCAACTACATTAGCATCGCCCCGGGGAGCTGGTTAGAAATGCAAATCCTCGCTCCCTCCCAGCCCCACTGAGTCAGGACCCCTGGGGGTGGGGCCCCAGCAATCTGTGCTTTAACCAGCAGAGGTGATTCCGATGCAAATCACACCTTAAATAACTTGTTTAATGTTTATTTAAAATTTTTGAGGGGCGCCTGGGTGGCTCAGTCGGTTGAGCGTCTGTCTTCAGCTCAGGTCATGATCTCATGGTTCATGAGTTCAAGCCTCATGTCAAGCTCTGTGCTGACAGCTTAGAGCCTAGAGCCTGCTTCGGATTCTGTGTCTTCCTCTCTCTGCCCCTCGCCTGCTCATAATCTCTCACTCTCTCAAAAACGAATAAACATTAAAAAAATTTTTTTAAATAAAATAAAATTTTTGAGAGACAGAGCACTAGTGGGGGAGGGGCAGAGAGAGTAGGAGACACAGAATCCGAAGCAGGCTCCAGGCTCTGAGCTGTCAGCACAGAGCCTCACCCACGAACCATGAGATCATGACCTGAGCTGAAGTCGGACGCTCAACTGACTGAGCCACCCAGGCGCCCTGCAAGTTCACATTTAAAACCATTCTCCACGGGGGCGCCTGGGTGGCTTAGTCGGTTAAGCGTCCGACTTTCGCTTAGGTCGTGATCTCGCGGTTCGTGGGTTCGAGCCCCGCGTCGGGCTCTGTGCTGACTGCCAGCTCAGAGCCTGGAGCCTATTTCAGAGTCTGTATCTCCCTCTCTCTCTGACCCTCCCCTGCTCACGCTCTCTCTCTCTCTCCCTCTCTCTCCTAGAAATAAATAAAACATTAAAAAATTTAAAAAAATAAAAAAATAAAACCATTCTCCACGACAGAATTCACAAGTATCTTTTAAACAGTAGGTTTCTTACTCCTCGACCCAACTTGCCAGTAAAAGTTAACACTCTGACTCCCTTTACTTTATTTGATATAGATAACATTATTGGGGCACCTGGGTGGCTCAGTCAGCTAAGCGTCCAACTTCGGCTCAGGTCATGATCTCACAGCTCGGCTTGTGAGTTCGAGCCCCGCATTGGCCTCTCTGCTGTTTTCGCAGAACCCGAATTGGATCCTCTGTCTCTCCTCCCCCACCTTCTCTCTGCCACTCCTCCCATTTTCTCTCTCAAAAATTAAAAACATTTTTAAATGAACATTAAATTAATTTTAACATTAAAACATAACAAAAGTTATCAAATTTACCTGCCCACCCAAAATGTACTTGCGCAAAGTTGTCAGGAAAATGATGCAAAGTACAAATGTACAAAGTACACTTTATATACGTTCTCCCTTGTTTCAAAAACCATTCGAGGCAGCTGGTGTACACATGAATTAATGTTTACCGTAGATCTCAAGTGTCCTTTGGGAAGACTGTCTCAAAATGTACTCCATGAAAGATCTGAGGCTTTGTAGAAACTTATCTCGGACTTTCGAGAGACTTAAAGACCAGAGCTTTCTAGGCCACAAAGTCCAACAGTCTAAGAAATACAGGCCAAGAAAAGCCATCTGTGAACCCTCCAGAAATACTGCATATCCAATAGTCCAGGGGGCCTTAGAAATGCGAGTGCTCACAGGGCCTAGGCTGCCACATAACCAGTAAGCGATCCTCCGGGAATTCAGACGTTTTATTGAAATCTGAAGAGCCCCAGAGCACCCTCTCTAGTTCCGAAATATGTTTCCTGCCATTCGAGAGGGTTTTGTTCAAGCCCCCTACAACCACGACATCAATCCCAGTTGTCTTAAGGGTACAATTCATATGCTAAGTGGCAGAAACCCGGAGGCAGTGAGGCAGAATTAAAAAACACACGCTCTGTTTCCTGGTGTTGAATGAAGGGTCTCCTCTCTAGCCCTTGACCCTGGAAAGACCGCTCTGCTCAGGCATTGAGTGGGCAGTATTGTCATGTGTCTCCTACAGTCCTTGAAGCAAGGCAAGCACGCAACAAGTATCTATTATTCGTGTACTGATTTCCTTCTGTGCCAGGAGCGCAGCGACCGTGAAAGGCAATCATTGATGATGGGCCCAGCGGGATAATAACACGAGTCACCACTAGATGGCAGTAATGGTGCTAAGTAATTAGCTATTAACATTGGTTCTCAAAACTGTGCTCTACTTGTTGCTCAGTATTTACTCATTCATTCACAAAATAATTATTCGACACCTATTATGTGCCTGGCACCACAAGGGTCAGCAAAGAAAGACACAGCCCCAGTCCACAGACCTTACCGTTCTAGGTGAGAAAATGGACCAGTAAAAATCACACCAGTAAAAATATCACAAGGGTTGTGATACTGCACAAGGGGAGAGCCGGCCCCCAGGGGAGGAAAGCAGCCCTAAGAAAGAGATGAAGCCAAGAAGGGGGTGCTGCTAAGGTCCGAAGAACAGGACTTGGTGGGTGAGGGGAGGGAAGGGAGCACTCAGGTGGAGGGAGAGCCTGGTCAAAGGCTGCCAGGTGACAGGGAGGACTAGACTGAAGCCCACAGTACTGGCCGGTGGGCTGGGAGCAGCCCCTCCTGGAGGGGTGAGCAGCAGCCACACCGTGCAGGACCTCACAAGCCTTGCTCACTCGGGGGATGTGGGTCTAGATCCAAAGAGCAATAGGTCACTGAAGGGTTCTGCACCCTGGGAAGGGAGAAAGCTGGGTGGCTAAACCGGATTCGCCTTTGACAAGGTCAGATCTGCATTCTGGCGGAGTCACTTGGGTCTGCTCCAGGAAGTCCACTGACGGGTAGCCAAGTGGATGTAGGGAGACCAGCTGGAGAACCATCAATGGGGTCTGGGAAGGAAGGAGAGGCCTAGGATCAGGGTAAGGGCAATGGAGATAAAGGGTCAGGATGGCTAAATGGCTAGGGTGTCGAAGAAAAGGGGAATGTCAGAGATGGCTCAGATAGGGCAGCAGATGGAAGGGAAACCAAGGCAGGGGAAGGGTCTCGAAGAGTGGCTGGGTAGCGGGGAGTCATGAGCTCAGTGTTAGACGGGACTGACTATGAAAGGTTTTTGAGACATCCAGGCAGAAACGACCAGAAGGAAAAGGAACATCTGAGTTTAGAGTTCAAAGACAGAACCATGTTGAGTCAGGTGGGCAGGGATGAGACCATCATGGAGTGAAGACTGGGGAAGCATTAAAGCCACCTGGATGACGACCAGCGACCAGCAAATAGGAAAGGGAAGGGAAGGAAAGGGAAGGGAAAGGGAAGGGAAAAGGAAGGGGAAGGGAAGGGAAGGGAAGGGAAGGGAAGGGAAGGGAAGGGAAGGGAGAGAAGCTGAAGGCAGCATTAGAAACCCAACTACGGGGGGGGGGGGCTGGCTGGCTCAGTGGGTGGAACGTGTGATTCTTGATCTTGGGGTTGTGGGTTCGACCCCCACCCTGGATGTAAAGATTGCTTAAAAATAAAATCTTAAAAATAAAAATCTAACCACAGGCAGAGGTCAAAATACAGGTAAGGGAAGGCTTCAAAAGAATCAAAGCCAAAAAAGAACAAAACTGGGAGATAAGATTACAAAAAGCATGTGATTCCATTCCAGTCCCAGCAAACTGCCCATTCTTAGAGAAGGGGTGTGGCCTTGAATGACCCCTAATTGCGTAGGGGGCTGTTCAAATAGCCTGCTCCAGAAACCTGAGTGTTCCTATTGCAGACAACTTATCACACAGCCTTCAGCTTAGAGGCTGTGGGAAGGGGGAGCCTGGCCTAGTGCAAGCTCAACTGCTCAGAAGGAGGGTTCTTTACATTTGAAAAACCATTCCCTTGTCCATTCTCATTTCACACAATGAAAGAACTGTCAGCTTGACTTTTTTTGTTTGTTTTTCCAGGATAGGTAGTAGACACACACAGCCTTGGGTTCAAATACCAGTTCCCTTCATCCTGAACTGAGAGCCTCAGGCAATTATCTACCTCTCTCTAGTTTCCTGAACTTTACCATGCGAAAGCTCTGCAATTCTCATATAAAAAAGAAAGTGAGAGGAGGGATGCCTGGGTGTCTCCCTCGGTTGAGTGTCTGACTCTTGATTTTGGCTCAGGTCATGATCCCAGGGTTGTGGGACTCCATTCTGAGCATGGAACCTTCTTGGAATTCTATCTTTCCCTCTGCCCCTCTCCCCCGCTAACACTCTCTCTTTAAAAAAAAGGGGGGGGGGGGGAGTGGGGGATATAAAGCAAATGTGGCCAAATGTTAATTGGTGAATTCAAGTTAATGCTATTGCCTTAGTCCTTTTGCAATATGTATCAAATCAACACGTTACCTAACTCAAACTTACATAATGTTATACGTCAATTACACCTCAATGAAGGTGGGGAAAAATGGTTAATCTGGGTGATACAGATGTTTGTGAGACTATTCTTGTAGTTTTTCAGTAGCTTTGAAATTATTTAAAAAAAAATTTTTTAACGTTTTACTTATTTTTGGGAGAGAGATAGACACAGCATGACAGGGGAGGGTCAGAGAGAGAGGGAGACACAGAATCCGAAGCAGGCTCCAGGCTCTGAGCTGTCAGAACAGAGCCTGATGCAAAGCTTGAACTCAAAACTATGAGATCATGGCCTGCGCTGAAGTTGGATGCTTAACTGACAGAGCCAACCAGGTGCCCAGCCCTGAAGTTATCTAAATAAAAAGTGTTTAGGGTATTTAACAACAAAAATACCTGGTGGGGACCATGAATACAGATTAAACCGTGTTGACTATTGGCTAAGAATTATGGATTGAGGGAAGCATGGAGGTTCGTTACACTATTTCTTACTTCTTTTTTTAAGTAGGCTCCACACCCAACATGGGGCTCGAACTCACAACCCTGAGATTAAGAGTCGCATGCTCTACGGACTGAGCCAGCCAGGCACCTCAATATTCTACTTCTATAGATTTTTTTTTTCATAGCAAGAAGTTTCT